ATTTATTACAATGTACATGTTGGGGTAGAGGGTGTCACAAGAAGAAGAAGAAGAAGAAGAAACAAATGAAAGAGATGAATAAAAAGGAAAAAATGAGATAAAGAAGAAAATAAGAGAGAAAAGCAAAAATGGCGATAGAGAAGAGGTGGAAAAAAAGGAATATGAGAGAAAAAATTTAAGAGAGAGAAAAGAAAGAAAAAGAAAAAGTAGAAATAGAAGGGAAAAAAGTCATACGAAATCTCAAAAATCTTTGGTAAGATTGTTTGATGACTAATTTCTATGTAAATTATATGGAAAAGTCCTACAAAATCTAGTATTCAAAATAATCTATTGAAATCTCTATATTTTTTAATATCAATGGACTTTTTAAGTAAAAAAAAATTCTTAATTGAATACTACCAGATTTTGATGGACTCCTAAAAAATTGATGATTATTTTAATTGAATATCACCAGATTTTGAAGAACTCTTAAAAAAAAAAAATTAATTGTCCCTATTGAATGCCAAGTGATTTTTTTATATTAAAAAAGTCTTGATTTAATACCACAAGACTTTTTAATAACAAAAAAGTATTTTAAAATCCATTGAAATCCTAATTAATACACCCCCTTAAATCTTTCCTCATGTCTTTCTTACTTCTCTCTCATATTTTTTTTTCTCTCTCATTCTCTCATACTGTTCTTGCTCCTTTCTTCTTTTATTCTCTACCTCATTTTTTTTATTCATCTCTCTCATTTATCTCTTCTTTTTCATCTCAGATTCTTTTTTCTCTCTTGTCTTTTTTGCTTTTCTTTCTCTTTCTTCTTTATCTCTTTTCTCCTTTTCTTTTTATTCATCTATCTCATTTATCTCTTGTTCTCTTATCTTTTCTTAACTATCAATTAATGTATAATTTATCAATATTATTTAAAATATTTTTGTATTATTAAATATTATCTATGGTTAAAATTTTTAAATTATTAAAATTTAACTGTTTATTTTTAATAAAATTTAACATTCAAATATAAAATTTTGAAACATATATTAAAAATATTATATATATATATATTAAAAGAAATTGAAAATATCTAATACCTAAATTTGTCCTTATTAATATGTATATGTATGCATGAGTTGTCCCTCTTAAGTTGTTTTTTTAATTTATTTTAAACTATAAATTTTAATAATAATAATAATAATAATAAAGTGAAGTATTTTTTATCATGCAAATTAAAAAATATTTGCACATGAATTTAAAAATATTATTATTGACATATTTAAAATTATATATATATAGGCTTTTAACAATACTAAGGAGAGTATATTAGATTAGAATTTCACTGGATTTTAAAAAAGAAATTATTAGAATAAAAAAGTCTTTTAGTATTCAATCAAGACTTTTTTTTAATATAAAAAAGTCATGTGATATTCAATTAAGATTTTTTTTAAGAATTTGTTAAAATTTAGTGATATTCAATTAAGAGAACGTATTGGATTAGGGTTTCAAAAGACAATTTTAGTTTGAAAAAGTTTTGTAAATTTTAATGGATTTTAAAAGATTTTGTAGTAATATCATGACTTTGAGTGTTTTTTTTTAAATTTTAAAACTTGAATTTTAATCTAAAACTTTGTAATTCAAATTTTAATGGATTTATATTATAAGATTTTAAAGGATTTTATGGATTTCACATGAAAACATGGACTTTTAATACTATAGGATTTAATATAACATAAATAATAAATAAAAGTAAAATTAATACAATTTTTCTATCTTTTAACAAATAATTGTCTCTATCTTTTGACAAATAATTGACTTTAATGTCTTTCTAACAAATATTTCTTCACATATATAAAGTTATATTAATCCTCAATACATTGACAAATTCTCTTTCTTACACTTGAGTCTGAACAATATGGTTAAAATTATAGTCTTCATTAATAGGTAGTATTGAACATGAATATTCATCAACTAATTTAAATTTACAATTTTCATTTTGAGGATCATTATCATGACCGACAAGCCTTTTTAATATATGTTCCAAAAATTTTATGTTTTAATATTAAATTTTATTAAAAATAAATACTTAAATTTTACTAATTTAAAAAATCTAACAATAAAGAATATTTAATAATACAAAATTTATTTTAAATATTGAAGAAGAAGAAGAAGAAACAAATGAGAGAGATGAATAAAAGAAAGAAAAAAATGAGATAGAGAAGAAAATAAGAGAGAGAAGCGAGAATGGCGATAGAGAAGGGGAGGAAAAAAAATAATATGAGAGAAAAAATTTAAGAGAGAGAAAAAAGTAAAAGAGTAGAAATAGAAGGGGAAAAAGTCATGCGAAATCTCAAAATTTTTGGTAAGATTGTTTGATGACTAAATCCCATGTAAATTATATTAAAAAGTCCTACAAAATCTAGTATTCAAAATAATCTATTGAAATCTCTATATTTTTTAATACTAATGGACTTTTTTAAGTAAAAAAATCTTAATTGAATATTAACAAATTTTGATGAACTCCTAAAAAAGTCTTAAAATTTTTAAATTATTAAAATTTAACTATTTATTTTTAATAAAATTTAACATTAAAATATAAAATTTTGAAAAATATATTAAAAATATTTTGCAAGTCATGGTAATGATCCTCAAAATGAAAATGAAAATTTTAATTTATGTCATACATCTTTGAGAAATGTAATTGAGAGGATATTTAGTATTTTTAAACCATACTTCACAATTTTTAAGTTAGGATTTCTATTTTTATTTAAGACAAACTAAACTTGTATTAACATATAGCACTACATAACTTTTTCGTAAAAAAATTCATTTTGATGAATTTCTAATTGAATTAGTGGGTGAATCTTTATCTTCAATGCTATCGATTAATGAAGACCAGAATTTTGAACATATTGTTGATATTCAAGTGCAGGAAAGAATGAAAGACAATATATCAATGCATGGAGGACTAGTATAACTTTAGATATGTGAAAAAATGTTAGTTAGGAAAACTTTAAAATCAATTATTTGTTAAAAGATCTATAGAGACAATTATTTGTCAAAAGATAGAAAAATTGTATTGATTTTACTTTTCTTTATTATTTATGTTATTTTTTTTTATTAAATCTTGTAATATTACAAATCCATGTTTTCTTGTAAAATCTATAAAATCCATTAAAATTTGAATTATAGGTCTTAATTAAAATCTAAGTTTTAAAAGTGTTTTAATTTCCTTTTTTAAAGTCATGTCATTCCTACAAAGTCTTTTAAAATCTATTAAAATGCATAAGACTTTTTTATGCTAAAATTGTCTTTCAAAATCTTAATTCATTACAGTCCTAATAGATCAAATCAAACTTTAAAAAAGGTCGGGACATGCGTAGGGTTAAAATATTTCAAGTCTTAAATAGTAATCTTATTCAAATAATATATGTATATTAATTTTTTATTGTATTGTGATGAAAAGAGTAATCTTATTCAAATAATATATGTATATTAATTTTTTATTGTATTATATAAATAAATAGGTTGATCTATTAAACCTAACAAACTTTTTTATAAGTCTAAACCTAACCTTATTAAATAAATAGATTTTTTTAAGAAACTAAATTTGTTCTTTTTATTAAACAGATCATACTTTAAGGGTAGACCATAAAATCCTGTGTAAGACCTATCATATTCTCATCCCTATGTATGAGTTGTCCTTCAGTTAGTTTTTTATTTCTTATTTTAAATTCTAAATTTTAATAATAATAGAATAAACTATTTTTCATCTTAAAAAGACTCTTACATGTATTTCAAATTATAATTTTTAACTTATTTAAAATTAAATATATTGACCTATTTAATGTTATTAATGTAAATAGACTTTTAAATAAATTAATGGGTCAAGTCAAACTTTTAAAAATGTCAAACCTATAAAAAAGACTATGATATAAAATAAGTCAAATTTAAACTTTAATTTTATAAAGAAAACTATATGACTTCTATATTCAAAGTCTATCTTAATTTAACCTATTCTTATCTTAAATTAAGTCTATAAAAAAATTTATAATAATAACAGGTCAGACTTAAGTTTTAATTTTATAAAATAAATTTGGTAATGTATATATTTAAAGTTTAGTATAACTTATTTTCATTCTCTTTCTCATTACCAATGTAAATTCTTATATATATAAACATGCTTCATTGACATAAATCTCACAACTTCCAAGCAAGCTTTGATTAAAACTTCTCACCTGGAAATGAATTCTTCAACACCATTTCTCCTTATGCTTACCATTTGCTTGATTGTGATTTTCCATTTTTCTTTGCCAGCAAATGCTAGAGTTCATCATAGTCATCGTGAATTGGTGGGTAATGATCCTGATCTAATTGGTCAAACTTGCAAGAATGCTGAAAAGAATGAAGCCAACTGCACAAAGATTCTGAGAGGAATTCCTGATGTCGTACGAGCAAAAAATTATTTTGATTTCTCAAAGGCAATCTTGGAATTTTCCTTAAAGGAAGGAACTGCTGGGCAAAACTTCCTTAAGGAATTGGCAACAAAGAATAACGCTTCGGCCATTGTAGATTGTGCAAATGTTCACTATAATGAGGTGGTTGGATCATTCTGGAGCGCCTTGGGTGAGTTGAAAGAAGATCCTGAGACTGCTAACTATGACGCAAAAGTGGCTGGTGATGGAGCCGTAAACTGTCAGGATGTCTTGAATGCTGCACATATTGTTAATCCTGATATTAATGCTCTGAATTACAAAATGTCATTGCTTAGTCTTATTGCATTCCTAGCCACAAATAATCTTTCATCTTAAGGAAATTTGTGGTCTTTAACTTGTAATGAAAATTCATATGTCCAGGATAAAAACAAGGTGTAATGGTTTTTATCTGTCTGAGGATCTCATTGAGTATAGTGGGAGTAATTAATAAAAATAAATAGCAAGTTTTTGTTATGTGTTCCGGAATATTAATCAGCATCATCTTTTCCTTGCATATGCACTGTATTTTATTTATTGAGACTTGTCTCTGTATCTTTCCAATATTTGGTTATGAGAACGTAATGACTTCATTTTAGTATGCGTGTAACATTCCTAATAATATAAATATAATAATAACAACAACAAAAAAAACATATAATGCTTACATGACATTTATTTTATCCTAAAACGAATAAAAAGAAATTCTTAACATACATGAATAATAAATAAATAACAATTTAAAATAAAATTGAAATTTCATAAAGCTAACCATGTCTAAATGAAATAAAATTTTAACTTGTAGGTTCTAAAATAGCATAGAAAAATTGATTTGAAATATATTTTATAAAATAATAAATATGTTAAAAAAAATTATTATTATTAGTTTCATGCTATAAAATATATTTTATTTCTTTTTAAAATTACTGTTATATATTATTTTATAATAGTAGAAAAAAATGATTATATAGCATTTACAAATTAATGTATAGAATCCGGAGTTTAATATAACTAGCAACCATATCCATGCTATGCACGGATTTAAGTGTGTAAATAATAATATAATTAAACTTTAAGTATAATTTTAATATTTATAAAATAAGTGAGTTTTAATTTTAATTTTTTAATTTTTAATTTTTTAACTTATAAGCATTATTTTTTTAAATATAATTAAGTTTTAAATATATTCTTAGTTTCTATAAAATAAGTGAGTTTTAATTTTTTTTCTTGAATTTATTTTCTCTATTTTTATTTTTCTAAAATTAGCAAACATTATTTTTAATTTTGGCAAATTGTAATATATTTTAGTCCTTATAAAATATGTAAATTTTGATTTTGGTCTGATAAAATATTTTTTTTTTGTTGTTCATCTCTCTGAAATATAAAATCACTATTATTGGTACTTAACGGTGATTTTAACAAAATTAAAAATAATAATTTTTAATGACTAAATTAAATGATATAATAATTGTCTTCCAAATTTAACATATATAATTAATTGTAATTTAATATAAATGTTTGTATAAATATCACTTTGGAACGGAATTTTTTAAAGATAATATATGCGAATTTTCATAATTCTAATTTATTTTATAACCTTTTATAATTATTAATTAATATAAATAATATTTCATTATATATATATATTCCAAAATATCAAAATTTTACATATATATAAAGATATAATATCTTTTTAAAATTTTATTAATAAAAATGTCCATATACCTTTATATACGGAATTTTTTTTAAAAGATGCAATCGATAATTATTATTATTATTAAAAAATTATATTTTAATATACCTTTATATATTTTAATATTAATATTAAATGAAAATTTATTTACGTAAATTTGGTAGAAAAAGATCATGAATTTTTTTATTTATATTAACTTTAAAAATGTATATAGTTATTTGCATTAATTTAAAACCGATTATCTATACATATTATAAAAGGGATAGTAGAGTATGTAATCGCTTTTAGTCGTCATTTTTAGTACACCATTATACCCTTCAAATATAAAAAAAGTATATATTCTCTGAATAATTACACACAACCTTTTAATATATTTACTGTATATAATTATTAGAGGTACGAAGTATTTCAATCCCTCTAGTATTTAATAATTGTTATAACTGATTATTTATTATGTAATGTTATTATAAATTTTTATATTAATAATCTGTTATATATTTATGTAAGTTTTTTTAAAAAAAAAATTGGTGAAATTTTTTGGAAAAGTAATATTTCAATACATGACATTATTTTCAATCAAATACTAATAACTAGTACAAATATTTTACACGAAGTCAACACAATAATTAATTTTAATCAAATTATGTAATTTTTTTTTCATTTGCAACTACTTTAAAAAAATAATAATTAAGCAATAAAAAAAACTGTAATAATTAATTAAGTTAATCTTTTATAACGCTATTACAGTTTTTTTTATATTAATGTGTTATTATATAATAATAATAATAATAATAATAATAATAATAATTCTATATATTATATTGAATGTTATATAACATGTTTTGCATTAATATTTTCTATTTTTTGTGTAAATTTTAAATTAGTTTTATTTTTAAAATTCTGTATAATTAATTCGAACTTTTAAGAAATTATTTTCACTAATTAAATTACTTGTATTTTCAAATTATCCATAACATTATTTTTAATAAAAAAATTTAATCAAATATTAATAATTAGAATAAATATTTTACGTAATGTTTAACAAAAAAATTGATTAATCAAATTATGTGATTTTTTTATTTACAATTACTTTAAAATTTTAATAATATGTTTTGAATTAATATTTTTATTTTTTGTAAAATTTTCAAATATGTTTTATTTTTAAATTAATATTTTTTATTGATTCACAAATTAAATTATGTATTATAAAATTGTCTATATTGTAAATTTTTTCAGTCAGGTATTTACAATTAATACAAATATTTTAAAGTTATAGATTTCAATTATATTAATTTAGTTATTTTTTTGGATTTGTTTTAAAAAATAGTTAATTCTTTTATTTATTGACATAAAATTTATAGTTATTTTTATTCAATTTTATTAATTTATTTTGTCCAATTTATCATTTACATTATAAATTTTTTATTAATTATAGAGATGGAACCTATAACATTTTATTAATTATTGTTGTGTTAATTATTTTGATATATTTATTTACTTTTAATTATTTTTAATATTAATTTTATTTTATAATAGAATTTATATATAATTATATATATAGAAATGTAGGAGATTTGGAGCGCACGAAGAATTTGTAGAATCTCTTCCTTTTATATTATTAATAGATGTTTTACCATATTAAGATTAATTTATATGTTAACAATAGTATTATCTTATACATTAAATATTTAATAATATCAAGATTCTTTTAGAGCAACTTCCTCGAGAGTTAACTCCCTCAAGAGTTGCTTGGATTGTTACTTATGAGTAAGTATTGTAACTTACTAGAAACTCTTATTAGAATTAATTGATGTGACATAAAAGTTGGAGAGAGAAAAAAAGTTCTTCCGTTGGAAGTAATGTTTCTTACTCTGTGAAACTATTTTGTAAAAATAGTTTATTGGATCAATATTGCTTATGAGAATAAAAAGTGATATTTATAAGCAATTTTTATTGAGAAAAAAATTGTAAGAATGTAATATAAGTTACTTATGATATGATAGTAAAATCCATTTAAAATGGATGAAATTTGCTTATAAGCAACTCTCATTATAAATGTTCTAAAATAATAACAAAAAAAAAACTGGTTCTTACACAATCTTTGTCAATATGAGTTAATTCTTACACCACATCATATAATATAATTTTTTTCATTCTTTAACATGTAATATGTGGTAAGAAAAATATATTTTTATATCTAACCAACTCATAAACTTGTTGAAAAAAATGAATATTAACAATAATCTTAAAAAAAATAACTACGTGAGAAAAGTAAAAGGATTCAACTAAATGGAGGACCATATGCGCGTGGTGTAGCATTTGCAATAAAAGTCTTATCATTTCATTTTTAAAAATTTAATGTATTTAAATATGATAAATAGTGTATTTAAATTTGAAATTTAATGTATTTAAGATGAATATGAAAGATTTAATTGCTTAAGAATATTTAATATACATTATATATATATAT